TGTGTGAGAGTTCGGTTTACGGTAAAACAAGGTAAAGTCTAGAAATGATGGATTCAGCCTCTAAACTCCCTTTGAGTGAAAGCATTCAGTGGTTTACAGTGATGAGGTCGTCACTGGTCCATATAATGCATTTATGTATGTGACAGAATTACACAGAGGTATTCCTATAGATGTATTAGTTTAGTGTCTATACCTGCTGTGGTTTTGGGCTGTAATCTTCTAAAACAGGGTTCCTATCTCATCACGGTGCCCCAAGATTGATCCAAAGGGCCACAAGGAAAGGAAAAACATCTATCTGTTACACCAAACAGCTGACTTTCTGTTGCTTCTCTCCTCTTCTTGTGCTTTTGGAGGAACACTGAGAGCTTCTGCTGCTCCAGGCCTCCAAAACTTACTAAAATGAAAAAGTCTTTGTTTGAACTGATCATTATCAGAAGTGATCACGAGGCAGTTTTGACTGAGTCTCCAAGGTTGTTCCAAAATCACATCATGATGCGATGTGATCTTATCTTTTTAATGTTTGCAGTGATCCCATTATTGTTGTGACTGTGACTGGCTGAAGGTATAATGCAGTGAGATGCTGACATACACACAGTGTGTACTGCTGACGGCCTCATCATGTTTATATCTTCTTTGTGTTTTATATCCTACGTGTACTAACTGTGCATGTGGTTCTATCATAATCACACCAAGTCTCACTGGATCATGAACTCGTTCTAAAGAACAGCACTGTGTTCTTCTCCTTCTCAAAAATACAGTAAAAAATGGAGCAAACCTTTTTTTTTTTATTATTTTAGCAGCTGTGTAAGTATCACTGCATTCCAAATCATGCATTTATTGATACGGACTTTTCTTTTCTGAAGTCTCGTCTGTTCTGTGAATCCAGTTAATAATTCAGCGCTTTGCATCCTGAATAGGCTATTATTTTATTATAGCAGAAATCCAGGAGCTTTTATTCCATGTTTTGATGTGGTTATTTTATTTTTTCTTTTCAGGGCAGATTATACCTCCAGAGCTAGTTGCCTGTTTCTCATCTGGATTGTCCCCCGACACAGCTGCGCCGCTCTGTGAGCTTTCTTCTGCTCCACATAATCTATCAGATCTCAGAGGAGGCAGATGTCACATCACAACTGAAATCCTTAAGAATCAAATAATCTAAAAGCAGACAATGAAATTACGTGTCAGATCAGTTTGGACGCAGCAGAAGTGGAAAAATATGCAAACCTAGTTGACTGTAATTGCTGGCGGTGCTCTGCGTTATTAAGGAGCTGCCTTTATGTGGCTCTCATGTGGAGGTAGCCCGAGCATACAGGGCTTTATTAAAGCTCTACATGGTACACAGTGTGCCTATACATTTCCCCACTTAAGTTTGCGCCAGCTTTAACAATGTAAGTGGTTACGTAACATCCCAACTAATTTCTTTTCCCTGCGGGGAAAATCCATCTGGCTCTCACCAAGAAAAACTAGTTGGAATGTTTAGGAATTATGTAAATTCCTAAAACCATCACACTAGATTAGAAATGTGACTGCCAGACAGCATCCTTTCTCATGCCGTTGTTTTGCAGCGAAAACATGAACTGGAGTCATGAAGCTGGAGCGCCGCAGGCTGCAGCTCTGCAGGCCGGACAGTGATATCTGCTGCTACATCTCATTATGTGTCGTTCATCTAATCCTCGGGTTTGTAATTTGCTTATATGCACTCATGAAGTTTAAAGCGGGATTACGCGCCTGGCAACCGAATGTCACTTAGCCGCACATTCCTCACCAGTCAGCTGCAGAAAGTCCACAGAAAATCAACTATTTGGTCAACACTTCCTTCTGCTGGTTGTCTATTAGGGAGTGTTAACACTAGGATGTGACATCAGGTATTCAGAGCTGGAGTTTTCATACACATCCTGTTTAATCTGTCTGTGAACTAAACCTTTAATGAGTTGTCTTTCAAAGAAGAGTACAAAACATGAATATTGTGGCATTAAAATCATAATATATGTTTTGCTTGAGAGTGTAATGACTGAATTTTCTGAGTTGAGACACTTTTTCTGGAATAAACAATTAAAACTTTAGTGTCATTGAAGAGAGACGAAAGAGGAGTTTGAGGGACTTGAATAAAAGGCTTTGTCCCGGTAGTCCTGACGATGTGGACAGATACCGCTGATGGACGTGACTCCTGTGCACACGTCTGATATCTCCACTCTGCCTGTGTGTGAGTCAGACTATGGCCGAGTCCCAGAAAGGGTGCATCCCGCTATCACGTCCACATGTTAATAATTTAAGCACTTAGTCTAGAAATCAGGATCAGGGAAGTGTTCTGTTTTGTCTCTTGAAGTAAAAGCGAGCCAAATGGAAGGTCCCCCCTGATTTCCTCCTGACCTATATATTTCAGGAGGTACGTGCTAAAGAGCAGTCCTGGCTGGAGAGAAAACACATAAACACCAACATCAAATATTTATTCCTCTTTGTCCGCCGGCCGGCTGGTTGGGGTCTTTTTATTCTGAGTGTGTATGACAAATAGTGAAATTAGAAAGGTGTACCAGAAGCGAGGCTCGACGAAGCCGCTCGCATCACCAGCGCTTTCCCTCCGAGGCCAGCGAACACAACAGAAAGACGACTTTAAGGACATCCGTGTCTCCAATATGGACACTATTTATAGCCTGGAGCTGCTAAAGCATACCTGAACATTTACTCCCCTCCGTCACATCGTACAGCAAAGCACACACACACGATGACTTACGTAAGCCACATTACTTGCACCCTTTAACAGAGGATGCTGCTCGTGATGCTGGGAGGAGGGGGTGGGGGCGCGTCGACTCTGTGATACGAGGCGAGGTGGTGCAAATGAGACGGGCTTTGAAATGCAAATTGCTCATTGTGTTGTCGGCTCAGAACGGAAAATCCACAGTCAGTGTTTCAAGCAAAACACACGATCCCGCTTCACAAAGACCATCCAGATGTGCCAGAATGTTTTTTTCATTATTATTATTTATTTAAATGAGAAGTAGCTGTTTTGATTCTTTTTTTTAAAGGCATCCATTGAATTGCAACCATTATTCTGATACAAGGATAATGGAGAAGTAGATATTGCAGGAGACACTCGGTTCAAAACAAAACTCCAAGTCAGCAGGCAGAACAATCACACACACACACACAAGTATGAAATGATGGGAACCAGGAGCCCCCTGCTGGCAGCAAAACAGACCAACCAGCACGGAACACTGTGAAAGACGTAAACACAATATTGAGAAACAACGTAAAGACTACATTTATGCAGCCGTACATGTGTGATTATAGATTGTTTGCATGATATACCACAGTGAGACGTCAACTAGCTCCACCAGTTTAACACAGTAGCGCTCACAAAGGCACAAAGACATCCGTCTCTAGACTTTGGCTCTTCAGCACTGAGGGAAAGTTAACATTAGAAATGTTGAACCATGATTGGAAAGGTTATATATCATTTGCATAGACTTGCAAGCAGGAGTACGATTGGAGTTAGTGAACACACACAGATGAGATGCCTTCTGGAGATTTTCGTTTCCTACATTCAGAAATTACCTGAAATTTAAATGTGATCGTCTCAACAGGTGATCGTTAATGTTTAGTCTCACACAGCTCTGGAAATACTTTAACACAGTTGAGATGCTTGGCAATAATGCAATTTAAAAAAAGCAAGGCTCTAAATAATTTCTCGTAAAGGTAATTTATATATTACATAAATGGCACGTTGGCCTCGTTCTTCATTATAGGTTCTGTTTTCTTCTGCAAATTACATTTTCTTTAAGTAAAACTTACAAACTGATAAAGACTTTAGGTTTCAGGGAAGTGTGGCACACTTTAAATGTCATTCTATGGTGTCGAGTTAGTTTACATTCATTACAGTGATATAAGTAAAATATTATTTAGTATGAAATGTTCAGGCACACACATGTCGCTCGACGTGACTCCACCAAATACCCGATAACGATTAAGGTATCTACTGCATCTTCCAGAGCCTGATTCTTCAATCTTCTACTGTATCTTACACATACGGTAGCAAAATAAAATACAAAAATGAATATTGATTTACTGGTGTCATCGAGAAATTAACTGCATGCATCACCGGGGATACAAGGTCCTACTACATCGTTTCAGTCTGGACGCATCGAGCTCGTCTTCCCGTCTGTTTAGTCGCTGCCTCCGCACAGCTTCAGCAGCAGCTTCTTGTAATCCCCGGAGGTATCGCCCTGAGAAACACAGAGGATGTATTACACGGAGAGAAAGACGGCGACTGAAGGTTTGACTGCCAGGACGACGCGGTTAGTGGGACTTACTGAGATGTGGGTGTACAGTGACTTCCCGTAGGTCCTTACATACGCCTGCCTGATGTCCAGCATGTCGATCTCAGAGCGAGACACCATGATACGGATCAGGGTTCTGTCCTTGGTCCCTGCCCCCTGTCGACACATCAGCGCGATGAATCATTCATGTCGCCCTCCACGGCGTCAGAGCAGGAAACAACTGGTTTGTGGTAATTACAGTGAAATGTGCTGATAAACAGCAGTCATACCTGCATGGCCTTGTGCAGCCTCTCTGCAAAGTAGGCGGGGGTGTTCTTGATGCATTTCACTAGAACACAGGAGCAGAAATTAATGTGAGACAAATGCTTCACTATTAAACAACATACAATAGATCCATCCAAAGTGCTAAAGACGTGTTTGGAAGGAAAAGACGATCTAAACCTGACCGGATGGGGCAGCATTAAACACTATGGAGCATGTTTGTTTGTGCTGTTGGCTCTGCCATAGAGGTAAAGCAATCTGCCCAATGTTCCTTTTTTTTTTTCTGCAATCGCCGTCACTTTTTATTTGGATACCAGCTTTGCATCAGTAACCCGACAGTTTTTCATCTGTGATAATGTGACTTATGTGGATGGATCCCAAAATAACTACTAATAAATGAATAATATACTGTCTGTGCCAATTCTTGTGTCGCTGCTTGTACTTGAATTCACTGTGCAACAAACATTAATGATCCATTTGCACACTCTGTGGTTTGTTGCTGAAGGCCAGTGTTGCACTTTCTCTCTCTCTCACGCTGACTCCTCTGCAGGCGTGCAACCACAAATGTATTCCAACCACACAACAAGGGCGACATGCTCATGAGCAACACGTAGGCGCTGATCTATCACACACATATGGATCAGAGTCCTCACAGCACACTAGAAAGTATGATAATACCAACAGAAACTCTTTGGCGTCTGCAGCTATCTGAGTGTGTCTGCTCAAATGATAAGCTGAACTGTCTCTCGCTCTGTGGTTTGGAGTATTACTCAGGTCAAACCAGAACAGTTTGTAAAATGGCCTGAACAGTTCTTGTTTTAACGATTACACATTTAGACAAATGTGCAGCCTTTAGTCTCTTATTCCACCGTTTGACTTTAAACAATCAACAGGTATTCAAGTGAAGCAGCAACCTGTTTGGATCCAATAGGTATGTGAGGCCTGTACCATGAAGCTAGTTGGATGTAGCTTCAGCGTAGGATTTCTGTGTGTTAGCCGGCTCAACAAAACCTGGTTATGAACTTTCTCTGTTAACTCAGGCTTTCTCCTTCAAACTCTGTGCACATTTAAATAAAAGGGGGCGTCTAACATGTCATGTCACTCTTCTTCTGGTGTCCCACCTACTACAGTCAACAGGTTGTTATAATAGAGAGCTACGAGGAGTTTATGACAGGAAAGAGCGCTTCTACTGCAAACACAACCGCTGGTAAAAGCAAAAATGTAAATCGTGTGTTTACGTGACAGCTGCACATCAGAGCTGCTACGCCTTAAACTTGTATTGAAGCGCGTTTAGGTCCGACTCAGTCGTTAGCTTTTGGCCAAGTCAGAGTAAAATTACTGCTATTGATTGAATATTCTCTGTAATAAATATCAATAGAATAATCAATTAGCTTCAGCACCAGCAGAGTAAACTTGGCAGCAACTCAGGACCAAGTGTCAAACATGTTCACGTGTTTTCTGCATCACCAACTGAACACATGCAGGTTCCTGTGGCAAAGCAGCACATACAGTGAGATGCTTCCTACAGCCGATTTAAATCCAGAACCCTGAACACACCCTGCTCTGGACCAGGCTAGCTCCACAGTGTAAGTTGCCATGGTGACCGAGCAGGTAAAGAAAGAGCCACCTTTGTGCCACTCAACTCTGACTTCAGGTTCATCACACCTTGCTGGCTAATTTCACTTTGTCAAAAAAGTTTTGCAAAACAAACTCCAACAGTGACTTGAACACGTTTTGGAAGGAACTTTCCAGTTTGGTTGATGTTTGAAAAAGTCAAAACCTAAAGAAGAAACGTACCCACAGCCACCATGCCAGACTCCAAGTTGCCAGACATTTCCCTGCAGACGCTCTTCTCAATGTCCCTCCCACACATCTGCTGGTACTCCTGGAAGACTGGTAAAGGCAAGAATCACAGGCAAGATGGTCACAGTCAGAATATTTGAAGACATCAAGACAAAACAAAGCAGAAGTCTGCAAGGGATGGAGGAAGACAAATGCAGTGAGGTTGAAATCACTCACCTGCACGAAGGTGAGGCCTGCTGCGAGCGCACAGGATGGCATTGAACTGGGACTCATCAGTTCCCACTTTATTCTCCCCAGCAGCATACAGTTTCTGAAACAGAAAGGAAGGAGGAAGGTGATCAGGTTTTTCTAAAAACACTTTCCAAAAAAGGTTACAACACTAAACCAGCTGTAAACGCGTACCTGAGCATCCTGTTTGGCCAGTGAGATGTCGACAGTCTCCCTTTCATCACGGTTCCCCTACGCAGGACGAAAGAAAGCAGTGTTCACGCTAAAACAACATTCAAATCCAAACTTGACTCTACTTGAGATGAGCTGGTGTAAAACATGCCGGCGCTACCTGAGAGAGGGAGATCAGGAGTCTGCGGAAGTGACCGGAGGTGTCGCTGCTGATGGCGTCCTCCAGGGTCTTCCCGTACTCTGGAAGCGAGGTGGAGCTTTTTATGAAAATATACTCATTTGTGTGACATTTGCATTTTTGTCAGACATCACGTTCTCAAGGTCCACTGTCGAGGTGTAGAGGAAAGTTAAATACAACTTCTGATGCTCCAACCTGTTCTCACTTTGCAACAAGACAAGAAGCTGTGAAACACTTAAACGCTGTATCAGCGTAGCGCTGAAACAGCGGGTCGGTTACTTGTTGACCCAACAGTCCAGCCTCTGAAACATTAATATTTGTTTGACTGCTTGCATAATTAACAGAATTTATGAAACAAAACATTTACTACAAAGTCATTTCTCAATATTCTCTGATATGTCACAGACCATTCAATTCATTCACTAACAGAGAAAATAACTGCCGGCTAAATGATAACAAAAATAATCTTTACTTGCAGCCCTTCGTTTCCTAACATTCGGCCTAAAGTTGGGTTGTATCATATCTGCCCTGCAGGCGTAACCGTCATTTAGAAACATCTGATCCAATAACATCAGCTGTACTGGTTCAGCTACAGCCTGAACACGAGATCAGAGAGCTGAAGAACTTCAAGGTACACTTTTAACAACTATCCTCTAACGCAGTGAAAAGCAGAAAGTTCAACAGCATTTTTTTCAGTCACAGAAAAACCTAATTAAAAGTATAAATGCCAAGATCCCAGCTCACCAGCTTTGTAGATTCTGTTGATCTCTTGAATCTCTGCGTTGGAGCGTGATGACAAAATCTCAATGAGACAAGCCTCATCGGTTCCAGCCCCCTGAAACATAATATAGGAAAGACATTTAATGGCACATCGACTTCACAGAGTAAATATGATAAACATTCATTTCCTGGCACTGAGAGACTTTCCCTGTATGTTCCTATGACAGAGTGAGTGACATGATGTGGTGTGGGCAACAGAACTAAAAGTGAAGCATTTGCTGAGACAGCAACTTCCAACCTTTATAGCCTCTCTGAGCTCAGATGCATCAAAGTGTCCCGGGGTCTTCAACATGGAAAGAACCAGGTCCTCAAAGTTTCCAGTGAGCTCAGACTTCAGATCACGGAGTAAATCCTGAGAGGAAAAAAAAAAAATGTGAGTGCTAAGTCAGCTATGATATAATCGCCATATGGAGGCAATGAAAAGCTATTTTAGTTGTGAAAAAACAAACAAAAGGAAGAACATTATACAGACGTACCTTTCCATAAGTGGTTTTGTAGGCTGCTACCATTGGAACCCGCTGCTTGTTGGTGCGACTTCCCAGGAGTTCAATAATGGCATTCTCATCAGTGCCTGATGAAGATGAGTTGTTTTTAGAATCAATTTGCGATGTGTAAAAATGGACCGAGCAAATGAAACATTAATGGATGTGGAATGGCAACACACTGGATGGGTTTAGCATACTCAGACGGTGATATCTACTGACCGAAACCCTTCATCGCCTTTCGAAGAACTTCAACATCCCTCAGAGGATCAGCACCTGGACAATCCTTAATAGAACCCCTGTAACCTTGCTGTAAAAGCACGACAAATGAAGATATTAAAAGATAAAATGCCACTCAGTTACAAAGGTGTTTGAGTTGTCTGTGTATTGCTGTGTAGGTTTACATCTTACAGGAATGGCAGGCGCCTGGGGGGTAGATGGAGCTCCACCTCCATATGCAGGCATGGAGGGGCTCGCTGCAGGGGCCCCGGGGTAGTTTGGCATGGGCTGACCAGGGGCGGGACCCCCTGGGTGTCCCTGCTGAGCTCCTCCTGGCTGCAAACAAAGGACAGCTGTAAGAGCTAAATGCATGGTGACAAACTTCATATAGAACAAACACGGTTTAAGGAGGGCTGGTGAAGATAAGGTGATTTCAGCAAACAAGAGATTTAGCCTGAGCCGCTCCATATGTTATTAGTGAGTTGGCACGTCAGGGGTGAAGTATTAGAAAAGAATGTATGTACCGCTCCATAGCCAGCTGGTGCTGCTCCCCAGCCTCCACCTGCAAGGAAAATATTGACATAACACTCAAAATGTCATTTATTTAAAGAAGAAATCTCTTTTTCACCTAACATATGTATTTGGTTGTGCTACATATTGTGTTTACTGCAGCCTTACTTGCTGGAGGCATGGACGGATAGCCGCCTGCTCCAGGCTGTGGGTATCCGCCTGCCTGAGGAGGGAAGCCTCCAGCTGGGGCAGGGTAGCCACCAGCCTGGGGAGGGAAGCCCCCTGCTGCTGGAGGGAAACCGCCTGCTGCTGGAGGGTAACCGCCCGCTGCAGGAGGGTAACCGCCAGCTTGAGGTCCGAATCCGCCTGCCTGTTGGGGGTAGCCTCCTGCCGCTGGAGGGTAGCTGCCTGCTGCTGGAGGGTAGCCGCCTGCTGCTGGAGGGTAGCCGCCTGCCTGGGGTGGGTACCCGCCTGCCTGGGGTGGGTAGCCACCTGCCTGGGGTGGGTAGCCTCCGGCCTGGGGTGGGTAACCTGGGTAGCTCATCTTCAGAACCTGGAGGTGACAGGAAGTTGTGGACTGTCAGTAGGATGCACATCTGAGAGAAATCTCGCGGGCCATTTCAACCACAGATCGTTCACGAGGAACTGTTTTAGGAACTGAGGAAGTAGTATTTTCAGCTTCCTGATTACTTGAGCTTCTCATAGATTACATTTACAGGGACATTCAAAGTTATTAGCAAAAAAAAGAAACCCACATAATAAGAAAATGTTGACGTCTCACCACTTTCACGTGTTTATTACCCGTCATAAGACGCTAACATAGGAGTGTGTATTGTTTCTAACAGGTTTCATTTCCCATTTCTAAATAAAGACTGTCATAAACATATATATATATATAATATGAACAGACAAAATGAATCAAATCTCTTCATCATAGACATGTTTGGTAGGACAGTCCTTTGAACTACTGTTTAAGTGCATCTAAGTCATTCCATAACTAAATAAAACACTCATTCCATCTGCCTGTAGTCAGTGATAATGAGTGACTGGAAATTCTTTGTTTTCATGCTAATAAAAAATCAAGGAACTAATGATTGTGGTGAGAGCAGAGCAGAAGTCCGGGTTCTGTAGGACGGACTGCAGTAGCAGAGAAGTCTCCTTATTGTGCAATTCACTGGAATTTTAACCAAAAAAATAAAACCCACTCTGACTAGACAAACACAGCGGTGAAGCAATTCAACTGTACAAACACAACTTGTGCGGAGTTACTGATTGTAGTTTCCACCAGAGTTCAGATCTAATAACTGTGACCCAGAGACGGACCACGGACCCGGCTTGTACAGACATAAACAAACAGGTCGGGGAGATTTCCTGACGCGCATTGTTGACCCTCCCTGTTGTTCTCCAGTGTTCCTCCGTGGACCGGTGAGGCTTTCACGTGTTGCTGTAAATAACACTATCTCCACTACAGTGGGCACTTCCGGCCCCCGAAGAGACACATACGGGCGGAGAAGTCAAGATTATGTTGGATCTAAGAGTGTAAAACAAATCAACCCTGAGGTTCACAATTTAAGTATCTGCTTAGTATTTTGACAGCATTGCTTTTTAAATAAATAGAAAAAAACTCACTTTTGAAGTTCACGCCCCTGGGACAAAGTGGACTTTTCCGGACAGCACTGAACACTCCTGATCTAACAGAGCATCGCAGGCCTTTGATTTTTAAACTCGCTAACTAGCTGCTCTGGCACTGCTCATATAACTGTATTCAATAAACAGGCGTGGGCTGTGGGTAAAGTCCATCCTGAACCACCTGAAGTGACATTTAGCTCCAGCATGCCCTCTGATGTCCAAGGACCTGAACCCGACCTGCGGTCCGTTAACGTTACATAATCCTCCCGAGCGAAGTTGATATTTAGCATTTAGCATCCACTCAGATAAACGGACCAAAGATCAAGATGAGTGCGTTACATGTTGTTATTCAGCGTTAGAGAGCAGCTGTGACTTGTAATATGTGGAAAGTCGCTGGTTTGCAGCTGTTACCGTTAAACACCTCAGCGCCGCCTGTCCGTTTAATCAGGCGAGGCTAATTTCCTGCATTCCACAGTTAGCGTGATAAGCTAGCACACACGGCTAATGTTGCTAAAGCGTTTTGTCATACTTCGAATAAAACGCAGAAAGTGGCTGTTTTTTCCCTCCAAGTATTTTAGTGCTAAAAATCCAGATTCGAGCAACTTACTTATCAGATGCGGGCGTCAGATCCAGGAAGAGGCGAGCGGACAGAGAGAGGCTGGAGGTGGGTGGGTCCTCAGCATTGTTTCCGTCCTGCTGCTGCAGCAGGAATCAACCTTTCCTCTGTTATTATCCACAGACCGGAGGCTCAGGCTGCTGCTGCTGCTGACTCACTGGCCCGTGATGAGCAGCGAATATGTTCCCTTTAATCCAATAAGTGAGTTTTGTTTCCCGGGTGACACAACACATGAGTTTGTTGCCGTCATTGTTCATATACAGGCTTCATAGAGATGGAATAAGAAGCATTATTTATGGCTTCATTTCATAACAGATCACACCCCCTGAAAGCACATGATTAAAGTCCCCCTGTGGTCATTTCATTAAAGCCCTAACATTCATTTATGTGTATTAAAGTGAAGTTTATTTCCATTAAACAATCCCTTCCTGCCTGTCCTTATGGTTAAAGTCCACTTTGTTGTGTTTTGTGGTTGTTATAAACTTAGACATGTACAGTGATGACTGTCATAAAGATATGAAGACGTTTACTTTTCCATTCCTTCAGCCGTCCCACAGCCGGACAGTCACAGCAGGAAGTTACTGACACCAGCCGAGGAACTCATAGTTTTAGCTCAAACTTTATTTATCAGTTTGTTTGTTTGCTTTAAAGTTTGTCAGCCACGAGTAAAAATGTTCTGCTGTTGGCTGCAAGAGTGAACGCTACAGTCTTCATGCACTCCAAGCGTCTCAACTACTGAAGATTCGGTGGATTTATTTTAAAATTTGATGGCAACGATAGGAAAATGGTTGTCCATGTTGTGTAGATAATGTGACCGATGTTGGCTGTGATTGTGCTGAAACTGTAAAGCTGAGGGTCATTCAGAGATGTTGGAAACTTTAAGACCAGTTTGAAGACAAATGAGAAGAACTGTGTGATTTACTGTCGTTGTTGTGCTTCATTACAACCTAAAACCAGCCGGTCTCTTCTCTCCTGCTCTCTGTGCTCACAGATACTGTAATACAGATAAATTCCAAATGAAGCTGTTCTCATGTGCATATTTTTTTTCAGTTTCTATTGTTAGACAATTGTCCATAGACATTGTCCATAGAAAAGTTACAAGCGATAGAAAGTCTTACACGTTTATTCTGACCTGTTTACTGCACACTGTTAACTCACAGATGCAGAGAGAGTTTTTTAAAACAGGGCTAAAACCAGGGGTTATAAAGCCATGATAAAAATAAAAATAAATAAAATAATCATTACTTTCCATAGTGGGGTGTGTTCAGGGACCTTTACAACCACTTAGATGTGACTGTGCACAGTGACCTCCTATAAAAGGTGCAGGTAGGTCTGTGATAGGTCTGCCTCTATCACCGTGTGACTGTTCAAATATCATAAAAACAACGTCATGACGAGCTGTAAACCTGGAGCCATTCAGTCACACATGTTTGAACAGGACTCTGTTTGTGCTCCAGAGAGCCCCACCCTGCCTATTGACAGGATCGCTTCCTTATTGTTATACCGGAAAGTTTCAATTAGGTTTGAATCAGAAGTCATCAAAACTCTGCAGTTTGAAGATGAAAACAATCAGCCGGAGCACTGACTTCCTGTTGCTCATGATATGTCTCCAAGTGTTTAAAAAAATATATATGCAAGTGTTAACAGGAGTTTTAAAAACTTATTTTCACTGCAGGGAGGAAGGGAGACATAAAGGATTTTGCTTTTTATTAAAATTTAAAATATACCAATGTTTCCTCCAGTGAAAGATTTTTTTTAAAAAATTAAAATGTCTTTTAAGTGCATCTGCTACTTTCCTTTAACTGAAAAATGACTCTATGATAAAACTGAATATTGCTTTAAATGTGCAACTTCAGCAGATGCAATATGTGGCTAATTTGGGGAAAAAATGGATATTTCAGTGTTTTTTTTATATTATATTGAGTATACGGAGTCACGTGACCTCTTTAAATATTAATTTTAACAATAACATGGTGATGACGGCCTGAGGGCTTTTATTTTTAGAGGGTAAGTTATTGTTGGTGGCTAAAGAAGAGCAACACTATGCCTCCTGCTGAGCCTTGAAATAACCACCACTCTACTAGTTATGGCATCTTAAATGTGCAAAATACTCACCTGTTGCCAAAAGTTTCTCATTACTGAGTTACTGCAGCCAGTACCAACACCAGACCACTAGATGGCAGCAGTCTACTGGCCCACTGGAAACCACACGTTGTCTCTTAATCTAATGGCCTTACTTTCATATCAATTTACATAAAACTTCACATTAGTTTCTCCTTTATTTCAACCCCAGAGTGTATAACTGCAAATACAGAGGCTTCTGGTAACAGTCACTGTGTTTCACATCCATTCAGGTTTTAGTCAGGACAGTTTAAACACACATCAGCTGTATGAGCAGATGGATGGGAATCAGAATACACTGGAGCTGAAAGATGATTTTTTATTAGTGAAGTTTAACTTTTTTAAAAATGCATTTTACAAACTAAACACAATAATACAACAAGTAGGTTATAGTTGGCGATTTGTGTAGCTTTTTATGAGGATTTATATTTTTAGATCATCAAACTGTGCAAATAGATTCCACCTGAGACAAACTGGAGCTCCACATGTGAAGAAGTCAGAGACTCATGTTGGACCTCCTATTGGCTGTGACGCAGAGCGCGTCCTGTCCGGCGCGCTGCTGCTTCAGTCCTCCAGCTGGCACTCCGGCAGCTCTGCGCCTCCAGCCTCCAGCGCGCCCTCCGTCCCCCCCTCTCCCGTGACCCGCCGTCCCGTCAGTGGGGACCTCCAGGGCTGCCCTCAGGTGAACACAGAGCTCACATCCAGCCAGCCGGAGCAGGGGGATGACTGGGAGAAGTTGGGTTGTCCAGGAAAACCGGCGGTTCTGACGGTGCTGATCCAAGAGGCGCGCGGTCCTCCTCAAACAATATGATGTCTGCTATAGAGACCGGCGTGTACCAGCCTGCACAGCTGCTCAGCTGGGTCTACATGTCCCTGCAAGACACGCCGAGCAGCGCTTTCGATGGCTTCAAAGTGGAGTCGGACTCTTCTCCTCAGGACGTGAGCAGCTCCAAGCGCAGCGCAGCTGATCTGAGCTCCAACAACTATCTCAACAACTTCTTCCATCTGAGCAGTGAGGTAGAATGCATGTGATGTTCCGCGGGCACCGTGATTAACACTTTGCATGGCACTTTGGCTCCTCAGGCTGCACTTTGTCTGCAGCGTGTCCAAAAAAAACCTTCTCCCTCGGAAACACCATGTATTTTATCCTCCCATATTTCACTCTTGGTTATTTTTGTTGCCCATACAGTAAACCTCACCTGCATGCCTTCATTGGGTCGCACTGTGGTGAGAGGGCAGCATATGAATATGTGTTTTGTACCCCTGATATAGTGCCTGAGTGTGTTCAGACTGTTCTGGTGTCAGTGTGCAGCTACAGGAGGCTGAGAAGGACCTCTCAGAAGGTTTTTAAAAAATGCTCGCCCCGGCTGGCCCCTGCACGGTTCGGGGCAGAGTGAACCCAGTGGGGCTCGGTGTGGCTTAGTTTAACACTGGCCTACTGAAGAAAAGCAGAAAAAATGAAATTAAGCACTTTTGTTTACGCTGTGACCTCTAAATCCACCAAGTGCCGTATATTAACTCAGAAAACCGCTTTTAACTTTAGAAATGTGACAGCTCGGATGATATACTGACTGCACACATGCCAGATATGTAGTGGTTTAATGTCTCATGCAGAAGATTCCCAGCTGCAGTGTGCATCTGATTACAATCCTCTGTTTGTGATGCCCGCAGAGTAAACAGACAGTGTCAGCAGCCTGTTCTTCATGTTGGCCCTGCGGTGCCATAAGCACCCATCTCCTCCAGCAGCACAATGACGCTGATTATGTCGTGCCAGCGGGAGCAGTTGGAAGAATGCATGACAAAGGCATTTTGTTCCGACCGGGAAATGGACACGACTGGTTTCGCACAGCAAACGCAGTAAAGACAGCACATCTGCAGAAATCAAATAGTGTTGGCTACTGTCACGGAGACAAACAGGAGAATCAATCAGGGTGATGGACTGGCAGCCCGTGTCAAATGCTCTTTCATTGGAGGGCGCCAACAATAACCGTCAGTGTTTTAGTGACATGAGAGACACTTTTGTGCAAAGCTGAAACAATAGGTCAGTATACCAAAATAGGAAATTAATAAACATTTCTGCTGGTTCTTTTTCTCTCCGTTACATCAGTGGAAATGTGATATTTCTGGATTTCATCAGCGGCTGCAGCCCTGCTTTAGTCTGAGGAGGTCTCCACTGTGTGTCTCAACCTTTACATTCTTACGGCTCCAGTAATTTATCATCAGTGTTTTTCTCCAACAGGCCTTGAACAACAATTTCTACAAGAGGTCCTCCCCCTACGGATCCCTCAACAACATCGTGGATGGCCTGAGCTCCCTGGCGGACCACTTCTCGGACCTCTCCCTGTCCCCCGAGACACGCAAACCCAGCAAAAGGCCGCCACCCAACTACCTGTGCCACCTTTGCTTCAACAAAGGCCACTACATCAAAGACTGCCCTCAGGTGAGCCGGTCGGCGATGCCGTACATCTGCCAGGAGCAGATCTACTCCAGACTAAAACCGAAACAGCTGTGCAGCGTGTGGGCCATTTGAGCTGTCTGTCAAAGGCATGAAAATGTTTTGTGCGAGGTGCTGTCAGGAGAAAAAAAAAAGAATCGAGATTCATAAAGCGAACACGGTGACACGGCTCGCATCGAATCCACAGAACTTCCTCACGTTTGTCGGTGCTCACCAGAGGTTTAGTTAAACTGCATTTAAACTCTACATCTCAAGTGAGAATATTGTGTTTGTATTGTGTTTTTTCAGGGTGAAATAGATTCCCCAGCACATATTTGAATTAGATGTACCACCGCAGGCTGGTAATGAGCAGCAGATGCCAGATTGGATCTCGGAGCCGGGCCTTAATGAAAGATGATAGGTTTCTCTGTGGAACTAGGCACGACCTCTACTCCAAACATGAAAGAAATATTACCACCGCTTTATGTGCAGCTGTGCTTCCCCATTGATCATGTTCAGAGGGAAATGCCTGACATTTGTTAGGTGTAATGGAAATAATTAAATGACTGATGGGCAGGATGTGTCCGAGAAGCAAGGCAGCAAAAAGTAGAAATCCAAATAGCTGGTAAACTTTTTACTGGTCAATTATATAAAAGAAGCCTGTAAAGTCAAATTGCTTCCTGCTTTTGGTGATCCCCTAAAGTAAGAGCTGCAACATCCTCTGATTATTTCAGCGCTGGGTGATCCAACAGTTTCACTCTTTTCAGGTTTTGCCCAAATTCAATACAAAAGCCAAGTTAGAGTTTTTTAAAGTGTCAGACCTCATAATCGTGGGGTTATGATCTAAAACATTCGTGTTGTGGGTTCAAGAGATCAATTATTTGGCAACGGTGTCGAAAACATTCGCTTTACAGCACAGACAGCCTCATTTCTTGATGTGTTGCTGAATTCCTGCTCCGTAAGTCATTTGCTTTTCTGCCGATGAGAAGATTGCTGGAGCCGGCAGCCTGTTAGTTTATCTTTGCATAAAGACTGGAAATGGGAAAAGAGCCAGTCTGGCTCGGTCCAAAGACGCACAGCCCTTAATTGTTGGTTTTACACTTACATTTTTGCAGTGATTAAACAAATAAGATATCATTTGTGAGCTTTAGCGGAGCTGGTAGGAGGATTTGTTAAGTTTGCACCGAGCCAGGCAGCACGGTCGTCATGCTAAGCTAAGGTAACCGCATGCTCCGGCTAGCTCACATATTTCTGATTTGAGATATGAAACACCTGATCTAACTCTTTGTGGATCGGCAATATCAGCAAAGCATTCCTCTAAACCAAAAACAATGAGCAGAAATGTCCGTTCATTCTCAAGATCCTAATCCGCCCTGAGATCGCTCTCTCTCTGAAAGCTCATCACCTCCACACGCTGCCAGCGCTGATCGGTGCTGTTCGGCCTCGAACGCAGACCCTGCAGGAATGTGAGGAATGTGGAGAAAATATTCTGCATTGAGTTTATAGCCGCTAACACCCTCACATCTGTGCACACCTGGCAGTGGCTGCGAGAAGTAGGTGTGACATTCGGTTCGTTGCTTTCAGAAATACGCTCTCCATTCAAATGAAGCACCTTCAGACTTTACGACCAACACGGTGACACTCGGACCGATGAGATGAAACGCTGACCAGCACTGACCTGATGTGCTGCTGGTCTTCCACAGCAGCTCCAGATAACCGTCACTAAGACATCACCAGCATTTCCTCCAGTTGTTGCGTTAATCCCTAAAAACTCTGTGTATGTAAGTGACATATATAGTTTTTTTTTTCCCATGAAAATAATCCCTTCCTGCCTCAAAATGGCTCACATGTAACTCTAAACCTCCTGGAGAATGTGCAGAGACGGCTCCTCTGCTCACCTCCCATCCTGCTCCGACACTGTAAACCTGTGCTGATGTAGTATGAAAGTAATTCAGCTAAACATGTTAAAACCGGAAACCAATTCTAAAGAGGAATAGTGTTACAGAAAGCCACAACCCGCCAGTTCACAAGATCGGTTCCTAAGGTTTACGACCCCGGAAGTCTGAACCCTTCATTTCTAGACTCATCGATACGCTGTAGCTCCAAGCTGAAAACGCTCAACATCGACTGCTTACTTCACTCATCACGCGTCTCGTAACACGTAGGAAAAACCATACGAACAAGTCTTGCGTTAGACTTTTCTATGCACATCCTTTGTGGAGGAAATTCGTGGTTTGTCCCAACAAGCTTTGCTGTTCAAAGATGCTCCGACCGCGTCGACCGGCCGCGTCGATGTGGCCGATTGTCAGAGTCGCTCAGGTCCACGCTCGCCTGTTTATCCTGCATCAACAAACCGACGGGGACGTTGTTACGAGATAATCTGCTTCATTTGCTTCGTCTGTGAGCCATCGTAATGTTTTCACTCACTGGTGTAATTTGAGCCTTAAGATTGAATAACTTTGATGTAACCAAAGTTACCGCAAGAAAAACTGAGCACATCCTTGGAATCAGCAAACTGCAAAACGAATGATCTCAAAGCTCTTTTTTATGACGTGATGTACCCCCTCTTATTAGCAGCCATGACTTTCCTTGGACTGCTTGTTTCAGGCTCTCGTGGCCGACTGGTTTGCCCAGAAGCTGCAGTGGGCAGGAATCAAAGACTGTCACGGCTCAGTAAGATGAGAGAAGACGCGTACAGCGGAGTGGGAGAGGCCTTTAACAGCCTTTTTTTTAGGTGGAATGGGGCCCATCTTAACTTTAAAAATCTGTTTCTTTGATAAAGAAGCATGTGGTACCTCGACAGAAGCCTCAGGTGATGAAACATAGTGAAGAAGGCAAAGTGCCAGTCCATGCATTTGGGTTGCGGTCCAACCTGAAGGTATGCGATATACTATCTATGCTGTACTCAGCGGTAAACATCCTGTTGACGGCATAGTGGAGAGTTGAGTTACTTGCTCCACGAGGAGGTTAAGACGTCAAAGCATTGCTCTGAGATATTTACGATTCTTCTTCGCAGCCTCTCCCTTTAAAATGTGCAAAATCTGGAAGCCATTTCTGCGCCTGGCTCTCGGCCGTCCTCGCTCTGCTTCAGAACGATGATGTCAGATTTTATCATGTGTTGCTCATATTCCAGACCCAAAGCGGTGATTATGGAGCTGTCGCTGTCACAAAAGGACTCTTCAGCTGAAGCCGAGATCAACGTCCTCCTGAAGCTGTAACTAATGAACAAACTGCTTTTTGTTCTTGTTGGCTGGAATCTGAGGCATTTTTCGCTCCAGACAGCTGAAATCCATACTTCTGGAGCGCTTTTGATGTCTCACGGCATGTCGGGGCGCAGGAAAACCACCGCGTGTCCAACTTGCAATTAAATAAGACTTCTTAAGATGAGCTGTGTTGTTTTTAAGCTGCTTTCCAGTTTTTGTGTGCGAGTGCACGCTGAGCACCTTTCACCCTCTAACCCGGGGTCGCAGCATTCTAATGACGTCTTGCCAATTAAGTAGCTGGACCCGGTTACTGTACGGAGAATACACAAGTGACAGAGTGCTGACAGTAAATGGGTGTATGGTGGGAAGGGCTTGGGATAAATAAGGAGAGCATTGTTTCTGCAGAGGGGCTGTGGAACCAAAGGTCAGGAAGTCAGGCTGTATTGTTCGAGCGGCTCTGCTTGGCTGGAGGCATCGCCGTCTCTTTCTCCCCGTCTGTGCAGAGAAGCTACTACCGGACTCTCCTTTAAAGAGCCGGCTGCCCAGAGACGACTCCATCCACCGCGTGTTTTTGGAAACAGTGGGTAGCACAGGAAGAGGGTGTATGTCTTTACAGTTACAGTTTAATCATGTTTGAATGAAGGGAAAAAGTCTGCTTCGATGATTAGTTAGCACGGGGACGGGGCAGCGTTGGCTAGCTGCAGGGATTGAAGGAGGAATTCCTTGATTTATGTTTGTACTTTGAAAGTCAACAAAGATATTTTTAGCTTTAAGTTGCTTAAGTTCCGACCACCCATGATTCAGTATCCTTAATGTGTCACTTCTCACTGAAGGACAAGTTTGACATTTAACCAAGAAACAGTCCAACACCAAACACTTCTTTTTTGTATGGATTAAACAGACAAGATTCAGCATGTTAAAGGCCCCGTCTGGTGAAAATCTACCTTTGTTACCATGTTAACATGAACATATGTGACCATCTACATGAAATCAGTCACATTGCACCCTGGGCTATATCCCAGATACAGCCTGGATTACGTTAACACGTTGGGTTTGTTACTTAGGTTGGTCCATTTAGTTGTTTTCTACATGTAGGTAACATTTAACATTACAGATCGCTGTCAAACACCGTCAGCCTGCGTGAGCGGTAACACCAACGTGTGCACTCGTGAGCCATGTGTCACTGCCAGCCAATCCTGTCCCGTGATTTGCGTCATGTGGTAGCAACATGCCGCTTTTGTTTACGCACAATAGCCCAGGGCGCAACGGTTTCGTGCAGATGGGTCCCATATGAGGCTTTTTACATCCCACAAGACGTATTTTAAACTAAATAAGCAGTCGTGGCTGAACATTTTCATCCTGAAGCTGCAGCGTCTCGATGACAAAAACACAGATTCAGACTTCTGGAGTTTCCGACGTAACGAAAGAACCGATCGGGTCAACTTGCAGGGTGGGACTTTCTGGATCATCATGCTGGAGAATCTATTTGCCCTTGTGCAGCATAGAGTAGCTTCACAGCGTTTGAGCGGAGTTGTGAGTGAGCTGGTGTGCTTGAGCTGCACATCCTAAAGGAGGCAATGACGTAGAGGCACATCTAATCCATTTTAAGGCTCTGAAGGATTATTGTCATGAAAAATCTCCTCGAAATCTAACTCTGATACAAAGAGATCAGTTTTAGGAGTTAAAAAGCAGGACTTCCTGTCTGCTCCTGTTCTAAGTCTTTGTGTCAGGCTAAGCTAGCTGCAGCTTTACAGACACAACAGGGAGGTCAGCCTTTCACATGACATCAAACTTCTCCCAGAA